CTGTCATGACCTGTCCGTCTTGGGTGGCCCTGCACGGTATAGCTCATGGCTTCACTGAGTTACGCAAGCCCCTTCGCCACGACAAGGCAGTGATCCATGAAGGGGAGGCTACACTAGGAAGATGGTTTTTGATCCAGCTGAATTTTTATGTTAGGAGGTTGAAATTGGGAGGGGATGATACATGTTGTTTCTTTATACTAGCTACTGTGTTAAGAGCAGGAGTAGTGCTTCACAGTGAAGGTAGTCTTCTGACAAGATAGCAGCAAATATTGTAAAAATCTACAAGATGAAATTGCTCAGGCAGTTTATTTACACACGGTATGTTTCTCAAGCTGTTCAACTTTCTCTATTACAGCTTCCACTATCCTTGCTGAAAACTGCACAGAACCACCCAATGGTGAGTTACTGGACTTGGTAATCAGGGTGAATGTGCAAGCCTTTTATTTTTAAAAAGCTTTCTGCAAGTTCCAAAATATTTGCTACAGCTCTTAATGCCTTTTGTGGCTTTGCAGTTTCAAATAAACAATCTTGGAAAGATGTGAATGTGAAAGCTACTATTTGTCTCTCTTTCAAAAGTGTTAATTTCTGACTTTCATTTTCTATCTTATGCTAGGACCAGAGAATAACCTGCGAGCATTTAATGCTTAGCAAAACTATTGTTCCAATTAGTGTCTAAATGGAAATTTGCTAATAGTGCTTTGATTTTTCAAAGAAATAAATTGTATTAGCACAATTTTAGAAAATGGTATGTCTTTGACCAATTTATTGTACATCATGCTCCCATATCTATTGGCCAGCTAAAGAGTTTCAATAATATAAATATGCATAGTAATACATTTATATAAACTACTTTTAAATGTAAGCACTCTGTGTTCATTGTAAACTGTACTTTATATGTTGTATTATAAGATTATGTTGGATAATCTAAAATATAAAGATATGTAACATGTAGAAAACACAATAATAGTACAACTTTCTTAATATTTTCAAAGGTAAGAGCAAAGCTTCCAAAAATAAATTCTAATGTAACAAGCAGAGAAGCGATCTGAAAATGTTAAAATGAAAATATTCTCGTGTAGTGTATATACAATATACACTATAGCTGTTAAGTTCTTGAATCTCAAACTTGCTCATTTAGTGGCCCATAGGAGGAAAGTTTTCAAACAAGAAAAATATAGTATTTAATAGCGTGATAGCATGTAGTACACTAACTTAAGTGATGTATGTTTGTTACAGCTTATATCCTGTTCCATTCCCAGAGATTTTGAGTGACTTGCAGTATTAATACAACTGGTGGTGCTGGTTTTGAACTATAAAGCCTTTCATGGGCTGGCACTTGTGTACCTAGAGGTTTTCCTGCTCCAGTTTGAACTGATCTGACCTATTAGATCTTCCAGAGAAAAATTACTTCAGCAGGAAGTAAAGAGAGCAGGAGGTACTGCTTCTCAGAGGCAGCACCAGTTCTCTGGAGAAGTCTCCCTGTAGAGATCTGGTTGGCATCATCCTGGAGTGCATTCAGGAAGATGTTGAAGGTAGAGCCATTTTGGAGAGCATTTTAACCTGTCAGCACCATCTTTTGTTTTACTTGGTTTTGGTTTGTTATTTCAATTGTCAGGAAGTTTGTTTCTGTTACTGTGGATACCTTAAATTTGCTTTCTGTTGTGCAAGCTGCTATGAGTTGGACTGATTGTGGCAGGATACAATTGCAATAAATGTGATAATGTATTTTTGTTTTTAATCTTATAATTCTGTCTGATGCACAGCTGTTCAAGTGGAGCATGATCTTACTCACCTCCTAATGTCTTTTTGAAGAACCTGTGTTGAATGATGTCAGAAAATATAGTAAGGAGGAGATGGTCTGGATATCTCAGAGTAGGCTGTTCTGAGGAAGGGAGGCCATCATTGAGCAGGCTCGAGCCCAGAGCCTCTCAAGATGGCATTCTCTCAGTGTTGAGACCCCAGCAAGCCCCCTACTGGCTGGCCAGATTCAACTTGAAGGTGGTGGTCATGGAGGTATGCAAGTCTTTAAAGGTGACCACCAGCACCTTGAATTGTACCTGGAAGCTATCTTGCAGCCAGTGCAATTCCTACCAGGCACAGCCCAGTAAAACCCACTGTATTGGTCTTCACTGCTACTTTTGCTTGCATGTAGAGATGGCTATTGGCTTTTAAAAAACACATTGTTGATGATGTATAAGAGCATGCACAGAGTATACACATAGGCTAAAGTTTAACAGTCCAGCCAAATGTACATAGTTATTTTATTTTTGTGTGTGCTGTGAAAGCATCCCTCAAATTCAACAAATCCAATGTTGTGATAGTTGTTGTACATTAATCTACAGTGGTGCTTAAAAGTTTGTGAACGCTTTTGAATTTTCAATATGCAGCTTTGGATCATTTTCCTCAATAAATAAATGAACAAGTATAATGTTTTGAACTCATTTGTTTAATTGGGTTCTCTATCTAGTTTTAGGAAAAGGGGAGAACAGATCATGTTTTTGGTCATATTTATGCAGAAATGTTGGAAATTCAAAAGTTCACAAATTTTTGAGTGCCACTGTATGTGAAGCACAGTCCTATGCACACATGTACTTGTTTTTCTAGCTGCAGAGTCTAGTCCATAATGCTCATTCACTGAGCCATATGCTGCTTTGTGCCAGCACTCCAGGCTCCAGATCATCCCATCCGGTCTAAACTAATGACAGGAACTAGGCTGAAAAAATGTTATTTAAAAATCTAATTGGAATATGTGGAACAGTCAGAACACTCAAATTTATACTACATGTGGCCTATATGTATTTTGTTTCAGGACAGGAACATTCAAAAGGGCTGTTCTGAAGTCACCCCTCTAATTAAATGTTCCTTATCAAACTGAATTCACTGACTAGAAAAAATACACTTGTCAGGAGAAAAGTTAATTGGAATTCTCCCCAGTTATGTGTGTGTTTGGGTTGTTGTTGTTTTTTGGCAGACATTTCCAAATATAGTCTGAAATAATGCAGAACAGTTTTTCCTCAACCGTATTCTGTTTGTGAATCTTATTGTGTAATATTTATACATAAAGTTAAGTATTACAATCTAATAACTGATGCCTTATTCTGAAAGGGAATAGCCCATTGAGTATGCTTGTATGTATGGAGGAGAAAGGAAATAGCAACAGGCAAGGAAGAAAACAGGCTTTTATTTTATGAGGATGAAGTACTATTTTCTTAATGGAATTACAGTACTGTACCCACTGTTGATTCTTTTAAATTGCCTGTTTTATCTTTTCAGCTAGTGGAACTAAAAAATGGTGAAACTTACAATGGTCACTTGGTGAGCTGTGACAACTGGATGAACATCAATCTTCGAGAAGTCATCTGTACATCAAGGGTAAGGACAGCTGTCTTTTTTGGCTGTGGATGATGACTGCCAGTTTTCACACAGTAGGAGGACAGAAATGAAGTTAGAAGAATGACCATGTAGAAAACATTTCTATAGGCTCCAGGAATTTCTTGAACATTTGGTTGTAACTCAGTCTTGGTGATTCCAGTTCTCTGCTTCTGGATCATTTTGTATGTATTAGTTGCCCACTAGGTGGTGCTGTCAGCCTGGCTTCTCCCTCCAGATGCCAAATTGGTTGGGCCTTGATAGCCTTTTGGGAAATAAAAACATTTTATTTTGCTTCTTCGTAGAGAGGAATTTGAGGAAAGAAAAAATATTTGGTTCAGGAAGAGAAAAAATAGTATTAATAGGTATCAAACAATGGGAAGCCAATGAGAATTCTCCCTGAGAACTCTTAAAAGAATGTTAATTCATGCTTTAAGCCATGTTTTAATATGAAAAAAGAACTTCTGACATAAGACAAGTATGTCTGACATATTAAAATTCCATGCAATATGCTTGAAGACTCAAGTAGTGACTATTTTAAGTTGCTGTGTTGGTTTGAATTGTTCTGTTTTTCTTTTTATGTTTGGTCTGTCTTTGATGGTGATTTTTGATCAAACCATTGTTTTGTAAAATGATAGGGAATAAATTGATATAATTAAATATTAAAAATCAAGGCTACTAATAGTAACAACATACTTTACAATCTGATGCTGCATCCTTCTTCCTCCTGTCTTTTCTGAGGAAGGATGGAGACAAGTTCTGGAGGATGCCTGAATGTTACATCCGCGGCAGCACCATCAAATACTTGCGCATTCCTGATGAGATCATTGATATGGTGAAAGAAGAGGTGGTATCAAAAGGCAGGGGCCGTGGTGGGATGCAGCAGCAGAAGCAGCAGAAGGGTCGTGGTATTGGTGGCACTGGGCGGGGTAAGTCCTATTTTTAATCTGTGAATGGGAGAAGTTTGGAAACTGCTTTCTGTGATCATTAAAATCTCAAAATTTGGAGCAGTTGGTTGAAGACTTCCTGAATGATCCCATTTGCACTTTGTACTAAGCCATAATGTGTTGTCATTTTCGCTTAGGATTTTGTTTGAAGCCATAATGTAGTTTATTTAGGAAATTTTGGGCAAATGAAGCCTGACTAAGTGCAAGCTATGAACCTTACCTGTGTTGCCCTTCGCCTCTGTTTTCAGCTGGAGCTTAGCTCTGTAGCCAGAATGGCAAAGCAAACTGTGCAGCTACTCAGGCTCTGGCCAATGTAAGGGACTGGGTTGGTATCCCCTTGCTTCAGTTCTTGTACCAAAGTGTAGGATGCAGCCTTCCGATGGGCCTTGGTATCCTAGCTGATATTGGAGCCGGAATACGCTACGTTTCAGCTCTTTAGTACTAGGGCAACTGTCGGTAGAGGTGGAGTGTGCTGTTACTACCCCTCATTCATCTCCATGAATACTAAAGTCATCTAACAGTCATTGCTACATCTTGGGAGAGAGAGTTCTGTAAGTGAGATGTTGTGTGAAGTCCCTTTCCACCTGCCCTACTTGCTAGCACTTTATCAGATCATGGTAACTGGAAGAAGAGGAAGACCTCTCCATCTATTCCCCTGAATCATCTATATCTATAGATCTTGACAGTGTCTCAGTTTGGCTGTATTTCCTCTGGAAGAGGAGACCCAGGGGGCAAAACAAATATCCTTCCAGTTGTCATAACCAATTTTTCCCTAATATGCAGGCAGGTTTCTAGGCAGAGTCCTTCCCTGCTGTTTTGTTAGCTACATTTAATTGGCATAAGGATTGTTTAAAAGGTAGAGCTTTATTATGCTTGCTAATTAACTCAAAGTCTTCTCTGGAGGCATTTGGAAGACCACGCTTTGCTCTCCTGGGACATTAAAAGAGCAGTAACTCTGAATGGCACTGAGAATTTGGCTGGATCTCCCTGTTCTCATTATCTGAGTAGTGAGCTGTAACTTTGCTATACTATGCCTCTAGCTAGCCAATTCCTTCAGACTTAACCATAGCTCAGGGAGGTTCTTCAGTAACCTCACTGATGGTCTGTGGGGAACCCCATGTTTGCAAGCTGAATAAGGAGAGCATACACAAGTTTTTTTGTCTCTGACACTGGCTGAAAGGTGAATTTCACCAAGTGTTCTATATCCAGGTGGTCAGCCAGATGTCTAGGGAAGTCCTTGAGCACCACAAAATGCGAGTGGACTGCTATTTGTTGTTTCCGCATTCCCCAGCATCTAGTCAGTGCTGACATATTAACATTTCTAAATTGGCTTTTAAAAAGTACTGTGCCTACAAGTAGTAATTGTTTGTCACCCATTCCAGATTTGACACTGGAATTTCAATGGAACAGGTCTCTCAGTCGGTTAAGCTAGGTGACCAGGCAAGCCATTGCACCTTTATGTGGCAACATATGATTGGATGCAAGGATTGTAGAACTCAGTATGGTGCATTTTGATTGGAGTGTATTTTTAATGTAACTTAACATGCCAATTTCAAAGCCGCCTGACTCCACAACTACTTTGGGCAGCTTATAGTGAAGTAGCATATAGTGATTTACTCATGACAGCTGATGGCCAATGTTTAGCTTGTCTGGTCACGGGAGTAAGAAATGAGTCTTCCTGGAATCTGGCCTCCTGCTTCACATAGTGGTCAACCAGATGTCTCAGGGCAGGAAGGCAACATGCCTACCGTGTTAACTGCCCTTCAGTAACTGATATTCAGGGGTAGATTGCCTCTGAACATAGCAATTCTACATCTGACATTTAATACCTATTGCTTCATTTGCCCAATATTCCTTTAAAGTTTTCTGTGCTTGCCTGCTGCAGAGGATACTGAATTCTTATATGTTTGTTTGTCTGCCTCTCTGTCCCATGCTTTTCTGAGAGTTAAGGTAAATCAGGGTTGGGCAAATTTGTTTCCCAGAGGCCTCTATTAATATTTTTGGTTGGGATAGAGGACCATAGTAATTAACTGGAGGTTTCAATCCAGACAGAATTCACACATGAAATAGAGTAACATCAATTATTCTTCACAGAGGAATTCGTTTTTTAGATCTGCTAACCCCTATTTTTCTGTGACAGTTAAAAACCTGCTAAATGGCATTCTTTCTCTGAATACCACAGCTTGTGGGCAAATAAAAGATGGTGGTTACATGTTTTTTTTAGCCTGGATGCATGCTCCTGGCCCCTGTTGGCAACAAGATGCTGGATTGTTTGGTCCAGCAAGACTGTTCCTACACTATGGAACATGTTAATAAACATTATCCACAATTTAAGTGGCTTAGTCAGTAACCAATTGTTCAACAAAGCCTGCCGCAGCATTGATCAGTACTGGTCATAAAAAACTACTGGAGATTGATCTAGGAGAGCTCTGGTTGATAGATAGTTGCTCATCATGATGTGTGATGTTGGTGGGAATTGCCCCAAAGCTCCTTTCTCCCTGAAATGATACTTCCCTTTCTGTTTTCAGGAGTATTTGGAGGTCGTGGTCGAGGAGGAATCCCAGGGAGTGGTCGAGGACAGCAAGAGAAGAAGCCGGGGAGACAAGCAGTGAGAAGCTGAACTGTTGCTGGGGAGTGCTCTGGGCCCAGATGCTTTGTTGTTGGGACACACTGGTCTGCTGTCTCTTCTTACTCCACAAAACAAACTTGTACTTTTTTTTTAAATATGAATAATTGGGATGTTAGATATGAATCCTAGAGGTGTTTTACCACTCAAACATGCAGTTTAGCTTCTGTTTGAACAGGCACTGATGGGGAGTGCTCAACTGACTCCCCTGTTCTTGGAATTACTATGGTAAATGAATAGCTTAGCCAGGTTCACATTTTTGAAAATGGAGATTTTTGTGTGAGCAATTTAATTCTAATTGATAAACTATGAAATGCATTTAAACAAGCAAAAAAAAATTGATTGTGTTGTGCAGAAGATTTGCAATCCCTGGTTTCTTAGCAGCCAAAATTCCCAGAATTTAGTAGCTGGGAAGTGAATGTTGGTTTTTCCTCATGGCTGAGGAGAAGAATTAAAGCAATGAAACATCTTACCTCGACATCTTTTTTATTTTCTAGCAAAATCATTTTTTAAAGGATTGGACTACTTTGAAGAGGGAAATATCTCTATAACAACTTCAGCTCTCAAAAGTTTACTTTTTTGCCCAGTTTCAGAAATAATGCCTTCAGTGACTTACAGAGACTATTTTCAGTGCAGAATTTCTGTTTTAAACAACTGAAATGTGGCCTCCCTCATCCACTTGGAGTAGCTTTTCTACAGCCCCCAAAGAGGGGGCCTGCAAACCATGGGGAGTCTCAAATGAAGGCAGGATTTAGAAAAAAACTGTACTTTAAAGGTCTGGGGCCAGATGTTGGGCTCCATCTGTTCTGCCCAACTTTGCCAGTGATCCAGACAGGAGTTGAAATTCAACATCCAGAGGTTCATAAATTCCACACGTGCTTCAAAGTGTCCTAAATGGAATTAGGTGCTTCAGCTGTAGAGGTTAAAAATTGGGTTACAGGTGACCCTTTTGAAAATACGATTTTAGAAGCAACACTTAACCCTACCCATTAGTCAATACCGAACAAACCAGCTACAATATTTTGGGTAAAAACATTTTTACATATTTTTGACCCACCATGTTACAGGTAGAATAAAGTTTGATCTGTTACTCTGCGTGTATTAGAAGAGGTGGGTGGTGAATATTAATAAGGGGCACTGGAAAACTCTTCTCCAGAGATAGTAATCACACTCAAGAATAGGCAACCTCCCCTTTTCTGGCATGTGCCAGCTTTCTTCTCTTGCATGTAGCATCTTTTTCTCTTGCACAGGCCTTGTTTTGCTTTCTACCTTTGAAACTCAAGTGAATACTGTCTTGTTTTTGAGGCCCTCTTTTTGTTTAGTAGGAAAGTAGACTGCCCCTTTTCTTACAGATGGGAAAGACAGGGTTCATGTCATCTGGGAGTCTATTTGCTATGAAAGTTAATATGTGATTTTTTTGTTCAGGGCAAATACAAGTAGTCATTCCAGAAAGCTTCATTCTTCTCCATCCTGAATCTGGTGTTACCACTTGTTACTGTCCTCTTAATCAGGAATGCATTGTTTCTGTGTGTAAGGCAATGGGGCTGCAGGCAGACCACAGTCTCTCTCCTGTAAGCAGACTGCACAGGGTATGACCATCAAGGAAAACCTCCTCTTATCCTTCTCTGTTGCTCTTTCCATGACTCTTGTGAACAGACAGTTGGCCTTTGTTTTGGGGGCAGGTGCTTCCCCTGAGCGCCAAAGAGCACTTTCTTCAGACTTGCTTTTGCAGCATTGCATTGGCTCAGCTGTGTGGTGACTCACTCACTCCTCCCCAGGTCTGAGTCTAGAATAGCTGCACACGAGGAGAAGCTGTACAAATAGTTTGAAGCCTGCGTTAAGGAGCTAAAAATAATCATGTCTCGATCCTTCCCTCCCTCTTTTATTTTTATTAATGTTGTTCTTCCTTTCCTGATGCATTGTGGTCAGCCACCACAGCCTAAAAGCCTTCAGGCTGTGCTCCAAGGAAACTGCCAGAGTTTGAAAGAGAGTATATGTAGAACAGCACACCCTGGAATACAGCAGAAGAGATGGCTCTGCCATTGCTCTTGACACCTGCTCAGCCTGGACAGAGCTTTGCCGGTCTTGATAAGATGCCCGCAAAAGCAGCAGGTGGAAGCTGCTGTACACAGAGGCCACCCACCTGGATCAAGGAACAGATGTTCTCCAGGCCATCTTCACCTGGGAAGAAGCCTTGCTTGGCCACTTCAAGCATCTTCTGTTTGTCACTCGTCAAACCAGATGCATCTATTAAGTTCCTGAAAAATACTTTTAGGAACTTCCTTTGGTGAAACTCCAGCAACTGGTGTTCAGATGCAAAGTGCCTTTAGCCATGGAGGCTTTATTTAATTAAGATAAATGTCGAGTAGAGCTGGATTTTTTTCCTAGCACCCTCTATTTTCCAAATCCTGTTTACAGCAGTGAGTACAGAGCCAAAATCATATATTTCCTTCAGTATTCAGCAGAGTAGTCTCCATTTTCTCCTGCAGTCCTTGAAGCCAGAGGAGACAAATTAAGAATACTTGAAGGAACACAAGCAAAAGGATTTGTCCTAAAAAGGGAACCAGTGGTAAAATGCTGGTTCTTGCTGGCATTTTATCAGAGCCACACTTGAAAATAACCGAATTAAAGCATAAATTGAGCTGTCCTTGTTTTGTGAGTAAGTTTTTTTAGTTTTACTGAATCATCCAAGTAGGTTGAACAATAGGGGACAGCATGTCTGGACTGGTGTGAAGCCAACAATTCTTGCCAGTTTGTAATTGTGATGGGGAGAGCAGAGCTCTAACAACTCAATTAAAAAAAAAAAAAGTTTTTACATCAGGAAAAGGTTGAAGAACTAGTCAAGTATGCATTTCTGTCTTGCCAATCCAAAAACTCGATTTAATTGCCCCAGAAGGATTTATTGAGAACCCCCAGCCCAGTCAGATAGCTGAGTGACTGAGCACAAGTAACAGAGGTCGAGCTCCTGATGAACCCCTCCAAACATCTATTTCCTGAACAGCCCTCCCATGTCAGTTCATCATGCTGTGCTCTCCTTAAACCTTGAATGTGTGCATCTTAAAAAAAAAAAGAAAAGAAAAAAAATTGGTGGCATCTCTGCAAATCAAAGGGATGACTAAGAGCACACCCAGCTCTTTTCTACCCAGTTCTAAGTATAGTGCAGTAGTTGGCAAAATGTCAGCTAAATACAAGGCTGCAATGACTTTTAGGGCTGGTACTGAACTGGAGGGAGTATCAGGTCTGAAAGGCAATGATATAAATGAAATGGCATCCCCCTGTGTTTTGGGGGGAAAAAGGTTATGTGCATAGGTTTGCCTTTGGAGTTCACACAGTAGTGGTGTCTTTAATGGCCATTGTATTGACCAGCATATTAGTGCAACGATGTATGGGGAATACAGTAGAAGTTTTATTTAAAACTAAACTGCTCTAGAAAGTTTTGAAGGTTGGGGTGAAAATCTCTTAAATAAAAGAGAAAGGGGAAAACATGAATTTCTGAACTGTTGTTTTTCTTTGCAACTATTTGCCTCCCCACCCCAAAATTTAAACGCAGCATTTTTAAAATGGCCCTTTTAGTTCTAAAGTGCAGTGGGTGTGGCCCTGATGTATGCTGTCATGTGCTGTTTAAAGGTCTTTGGGAGAAGCCGTGCAAATATTTAACCCATTACCAAGTTTCTAGCTCTCATGTTTTCTGACCCAGAGTATTTGTCTGCAAGAGCTGATTACCCAGTTCATCTGCTTTTTTTTTTTCCTTACCATTAAATCAATTTAGTATCAGACTTTAAAATGTTGCATATTTTATTTGTGTTATCAAATTCATGAGAAGCAACCTAACACCCATAAAATACAGTAAGGTCTTGAGGAAAGCACAGGATTTTGCTCTGATAACCCAACAGGAAACTCTTTAAGAAAAAATACATGATAATGATTGTGAATTGGAAATACTTGCTTTGGGTAACTTTTTGAAACTTTTAAAAATAAAAATGTTCATAATTGGCTTATTATCCAGATTTCTTTTGTGTGTGTTAAGGTACTGTCTTCTAAAGTACAAACCCCTATATAGTACTGTGCTCATATTGTGTTAGAATTTTGTGTCTGTGTGTATAAAACTCACTACAAAATTCTGGATTCCCAAATCATCACAGCAATGCTTGATCCCAAGGTGCCACTGTGGCTTCAGCAGAACCTGGTTGCCTTAGACACCACTACCACTTACTGCCAAGATTGGGGGGGGGTGAGGTGGGAATGCCTGAATTTTAATTGCCAGGTGCTTGTGCAATTAAAACTAGAGTTCTGACTGAAGTAGGGCTAGCCGCCTCTCCCTCCCAGTGCAGAACTCAACTGTTCTCATCCCTGGCAACCTTCCAGCAGAGAGGCCTGCAACAGATTAAAGGCCCTGGAAGCTGTTTCTTATTTAACAACCTCCACTGGGAGAGAGGGAGGGGGCTGGTGCAACATGTGCAAAAGGAGGCCCAAGGCTGGGTGAGAATCTGCCATTGAGAGGGGCTCCTTGAAAACTTGCATCAAGAGGCAATGTAAAGGGCTGGAACACTCCCATCCATTTGGAGTCTGAATGCTTTAATCGGGGGGGGGGTCCCCACATTAAAAGGAGGGTCACGTTTATATAACAGCGGTTGCCCCCCCAAGCCTCCAAAATGAGCTGTGTGTGTGCACAAGTCACAAAGGTTTAATTGCTGCCTCTGGTTCAAGCTATCTCAGCATTGTGTTTCCACAAAGCTCACCAGCAGACTATGATGATACAGAAGAATCGCAAACATCTGAACTCTCAAAGATTGCAAGTGGTACTTGATTAAGTTTTGGTGTGCATTTATCCTGCATATTCATGGAACGTTTACAGGGCTCCAACAGGGTCATTTTGCATTTCTAACTTCCTTGTGTTCCTTCAATTTTATCTTTCTTTACCAGACAAAAGTAAATCTGTTAAGGGATGAAAAACACAAGGTCCGCATAATACTGTAGGATCCTAACCAATCTTATGTCAAGAATAAAACATGAACAGAATGCCACACGGGCAAAGGAAGGAGCGGAAAACTGGTAATGTTGACAAGCAGCACACAAACTTTAGAAGTTGCCTTAAAGAAGCTGTCCAAACTTTCTGCTTCAGTTTCTGTAAGATGCAACTAAGCACGCGTAAATGACCTCTAGCCACACCATTACAAGACTCGTACATGGGACATTTCTAGGTTGGGAGGGCAAGGAAATGGTATCTTCTACTTGCTAGATAAACACCAGTACAGATAGATTTTGTGGGGGATGGGGGACTGCTTCGCATCACATGGAAAGTCTGAACCTGTCTGTCCAGCCACAAAACCTGTCTTAGCCCTCTAATTATGGGGTAGCTGGTGTTTTCTCCAGAACAAGGGTGGAGCCTGGGAAGGCTTTGTTTAGGACTTGGGAGTTCCTTGCTCTAAATGGGTCAGTCTCGCCTGTGTCCATAACTCCTTATTCTCTATAGGTCTACGTGTGGAAAAATACTCCATAGAGTTCTGTTGGACCCATCTATCTTTCACCATCCCCCTTTGCAATGGAAAGATGGGGGAAAGACTTTGTTTCCTGGAGCAAAGAAGACCTGCAGGTTTTTAGGGATGATGTGCCCCACCCAAGCTTTTGACAGTCTCACAACCTGTTAAGGGATTATGGCCTTCATCTTTGACTTATGCCTCCCTCTGCAAATTAGAATCATTATGGCACACTTCTTACAGGTCTGCTCCAACTCTTCCACGCATCCTTTCAAATAAAATTGACAAATCTACCCCAGGATCATATGTTGGAAGGGACTACAAAGATCATCTAGTCCAGTGTTTCTCAACTTCAACAACTTGGTGAACTTCAACC